AATTAATTATTTAAAGTATTATTTAATGAAATGATTGGTCCAAAATTATTTTCGTATTCTTTTAGGTAAGTGTCATTCTCGTTTGATCCCTCTATGTATATAGGGACTTGATCATTTGAGAACCCATAAAATTGTAATAACCTTGAAAACTTGTGTATCATGTGTTATTTCATATGATTTTTTTTCTATTTATACATAGTATTTAATGTATTGAAATGTGAATCGAGTACATATGAAATAAATATATATATATATATATATATTAATCAATATTTCAAATTCTAGTCCTAAATCAAAAACAAAATTAATATAAAATAACATACAATATACAAGTTCTCAAAGTTATCACAATTTTATGAGTTTTCATATATGTATATGAATATGAGACCCACAAAATAAAATTTTAGCATACTCTTGTTTATTTATTTGATTTATAGTTTTTTTTATTAACCTGGATATCCAACCCGCTATGCGAGCCGACTAATCCCGGGACGATCACCTGCTTTGCAGATAACCCGGAGTCACCGCATTTGAATCTATGTGGCCACAAGGGGATTTTTATTCCGCCTTTAATTTGAACCTGAGACCTCCTGATATTTTTGACCTTTAAAGTCAAGCTCAAACCAATCAGACACACCCTTGTGGTTGATTTATAGTTCTTTATATCATAATCAAGTTGAAATGTACCTAAAACATGGCATGTGGTATTAACTAGTTGAACTTTTAACGACCTACTCGATTCTGAGCTTGAGCATAATAATTGTCAAGCTCGAATCAATCTCGAAAGCACGTTAAAACTCGTTTAACTTAACGAGCCAAACTCCATAACACCAATATTCTTCGACTCTACTCGTTCAAAAGCTATGGAGGTTTTAACGAGTCGAGTTTTTCACTAGCTACTTCAGCTCGAGCACCTTAAATAATTCCCGAGCTTTAAGTCAATCGCGAACGCCCAGTAAAATTCATTTAACTTAACGAATCAAGCTCAATAACACCAATGTTCGACTCAGCTCGTTTTAAAACACAAGTAAATTTTTCGAGTCGAGTCACACCATTCGAACACACTTTTTCGAGCAAAAAAGGTTCATAAATTATACAATTACGATACAAAAATTATCGAGGTCAAGCCAAAAAGCAAGCGAAACAATCTCCACTTTCAGCTTATAAAGGAGTATCAAGCTCGACCATTGAAAATATATTTGACCTCGAGCTCGAGCCTTATTATGAATAAATTATTCGAGCTCGAACCTCGTAATAATTTTTCGAGTTGAGCTCGAGCATAGAAAATATACTCGACCTCAACCTCAGGCCCTGCTGTGAAAGAGTTATTGTAATAATTTTTCGAGTTGAGCTCCAGCATAGAGACCTCAGGCCCTGCTGTGAAAGAGTTATCCGAGCTCGAATCGAAACTCGACCCTGGTAATAATTTTTCAAGTTGAGCTCAAGCATAGAAAAAATAACCTCGACCTCAAGCCCTGCTGTGAAAAAGTTATTCGAGCTCAAATCGACCTCGACCTTGGTGATAATTTCCCCAACCGAGCTCAAACAACCTGCAACTCGGCTCGTTAACACCTCTAAACATAACTACAAAAACACATATTGCAATTACAACTTGTACATTAACTTAAAAAGGCCTTGGAGGCTTCTCTAAAACACAAGAGAAAAACACCTCTCTATCATCATCTTTATCCATTTTGGGTACAACCACCCATTTATGCTTCTTATATCTCAACATCTTGAAACCCTCCAAATAAGCCTCTAAATCTTGTTTCAAACAAAAGAAACTATCTACCCATAATAACCCTCCTGGCCTAAGTACTCTATCCCAGTCATAGAGTATAAACTCCAGGAGGACGAAATCGATCCACCCGTCGAGAAATCTCGACGTATGGATCAAGTCCAGCGTGTTATCGAAGAACGGTAAACGTTGGTTTACTGTCAGATATAACGGTACGAGTCCTCGGAGCGCGATCATCTCGTTGAACGGTGCCCCGAGGTTGATGGCGGCCGAGACGATTGTCACGTTACGTTCCCGCATCCTGGCGGCGAATGTACCCGTGCCGACGCTGAAGTCGAGGCCGACCCGAATCTCGTTGGGCTTCAAATCGAGGACGTCGGTGATCCGGAAGTCAGGGGTGGAATTTAGGATCGGGTCGGGGAAAATGGGTACGACCCATCTTGGGGATTCGTGGTGGGTTAGATTGAAGCAATCTGAACATTTGAAGAAGCCTTTGTTTGTCTTGTTGTTGGCAAGACAAGCAAAGTTTTTGCAACGGTATTGACTCCACCGGACGTTTTTATCGTCCGGGAGACGCCAGATTGACTCGTTGATCGGTAACGGTTTTGTGTAGAATTGTGGGGCTCTCGAGAAGCATCGTCGTCTCGGCAACGGGTCACACCCGTGCACCATTAACCGTTGAGCCAACCTCCAATCGTCGTTGCAGATCTCACCCACGTCGTAATTCATATATTCTTCGAGTTCTTGCTTCATCGAGAAACAAGCGTGTCCGATGCTCGTAAAAGTACCGTTGGCTCCCATGAAGTTCTGTTTTCCTAATCGGTTCGGTTTCACCCGCACGTATTTCCGAATCTCTTCCGTCAAGAAGAACTCCGGCACCACATGATCAGTAGACCGCAGGCCAGTCAAACCCGAATCCGAACCCATGGCCGTTAAACCTTCCGATGGTGCACCAACCCCGGTTTCCACAAGAGCCAACTTTACAGCCTCGATCGGACCCAAAATATCCGCAAGAAACGAACCATATCTCAACGCATATAGACTATCGTTGTGTGAATCTCTAATACCGACAATTTCTTGCTCGATTTTCTTGACAACAATCTCTAACATCTCGATTTGAGGACGATAACTAACACGAGAGTTCGTACCAAGGTTGCATCGCATATCCAAAACGCGAAATGACTTGAAGGAGTAAAACTTCGAAAATAAAGCAATACAAAGAAGCGAAAAAACACCCGAAACGAAAACAAACCTCGGTATTCCTCTCCACATTCGAAACTTCATTTTCCCGATCATCAATCTCTCAAAAGATTCAAATATACATCCCACTGTACAAGAACAAAAATCAAACCAAACCAAACCAATCGAACCGACCCAGTAAACCCCAAAACGAGCGGAAAACTACAACTTACAACGCTTCATGAACCGATCGTATTCGTATAACACAAGATTTTCAAGATTATATGCTTTTAGTAGCTTCATAAGTTGAAGAACTCATAGATTTTGCTTGGGTCAATATTAGATTTTGACTAAATTAAGCAATAATTTAATAACAAATTGGGATCAGATTCAAGATTTGATTTACAATAACGTTAAGCAACATCAAGGTCTCCCCCCAATAAACAAATGCAGCCATGAATTCTGTACCTACAAGTCATGCCAAAAGAAAAGCCATAAATGAAGGAAATCAGTATTCGGGTTATCAGTAAAGTCCAACCTTTTTGAAGGGTCAAGTTTCGTTCTCGGTTTTGGGTGTTTGGATCAGCTTGTGTGTACGTCGACTGATTTAAATGGGCCCTGAAGATGACAACGATGAAAAATTGAAAATCCCAGTTGGTGAGGAGACTCAAACTGACGACCGAACCCTGATGTCTGGCTTTTAGTTGTTAGTTGAAGCTCCTCGGTCTGTGTTTATACATCCTTTTTTTTACTTAACGGATGACTCTAATGGGTTTCACTTATTTTCACATGGTATCAGAACCAAAGTCTATTACTCTATGGATTTGACACTCTTGGCATAATTTATGCATGTTTAAGGGGTGTAAATGATACGAGACAACTTGTGAGTTGCTCGAAATCGACTCGGTCAAAGCTTGGTCAACACTCCACGCGAAAAAGTTCGACTTGACATACTAATGAGTCAAGTCGAGCTACTTAATATTCGACTTTAGTCGAGCTACCTAATATTCGACTTGAAAAGCTCGTGAGATACTCGGTTTTTTTTTTATATAATTGGTTTTATAATATAATGTAAAATTTTATTAATAAACTTGCCAATAAAAATGTTGTGTATTATTAGATAGAATAAGGGTACCCACACAATACAGCGAGATATATCTCGATTTTAATGTTTCATTTTATTTTATTTTGTCTCAGTTGATTTTATAATACAATTTTACGTAGTTTTGAGAAAGCACTAATGTTTCTATTTTTGAATAAAATATAAATATGAAATATCATAAAAAAATTAAAAAAAACTATTGATATCAGTACGAAACTAACTACTTTTTTTTATGTATTTCTTTAATTCATTTTTTTTTGTTTAATAATATATTTTTTATAAAGCTAATAATCATATATTTTGTTAGTACTCAATGATTATTTTAATTATATTTTAAAATTTTTATATTTAAAATAAGATGTTTATCCTCTATTTGATTATATTTATCTGCATTTAGTTACACAAATTCAAACATGAAGCTGTAATAAGTTGTATTTGCACACAATTTTCTTGTAATCTTGAATTTTAAGTAATATGCATCAATAAACAGTATTTCATCCATAAAAACTGATTTTTAAGAATTTTTGTCAAATGTTTCATAATATAGTATAGATTTGATAAATTTATACATCTTTTAACTATAAAAATTAATCAATTATTTTTAACGTAAACACAACAAAAGTGGTGAGAAAGTTATCCCACGTTAGATCAGATATAAGTAAAAGAAGGGTAAAAAGATGTTATAAAAAGAGATGTGAGTTTGTACCTCTGTTATTTTGATGATGAAATTTAGGCACACCCTTGAGTTTTATGAAGTTTCAAAAAAACACCTTTAAGTTTTATAATTTATAAAAAATACCTAAAATTCATAAATTTCAACATATGAGTTTGGTTCGAGCTCCAAACGACTTCAAGTTAAAAAAGTTGCATTCGAGTTCAAGTCAAGTTTCGTTTTTAAGTCGAGTTCGAGCTAATTTGGAAGGATGAGATCTCTACTGCATCCCTTGGTCAGTGTGCCACAACTAGGATTGTTAACGAGTTGAGCTATTAAATGAGCTCGTCGAACTTGTTTATCTCGAGCTCAATAATTACCGAGCTCAAATCGATCTCGTACACACTAAAACTCGTTTAACTTAAGAAGTTGAGCTTTATAACACCAATCTTCGACTTCATTCAAAACCCCGACTCATTTTTTCGAGTCAAGGGAAGTCGAGTCGTTCGAGCATACATTTTTCCGAGCCAAACATCATACTTTCATAAATCATATAAACCAAAGTATAAAATTTTCAAAGTCGAGCCAGTAAGCGAGCTAATCAATCTTCAGTTCGAACCCGTAAACCGAGTATCGAGCTCGAGCTTGAACATCGAAAAAATTATTTGAGCTTGAGCCCGCCTACTGTAAAGTAGTTATTCGAGCTCGAGTCTGGTAATATTTTTCCGAGTCGAGCTCAAATCACCTGCAACTCGACTCGACTCGACTCGTTAACAACCCTAAGCATTCCTGAAATCATCAAATCCCAACAAAAATCACACGAAAATATGAAGAACTCAATCAACGATTTCACTTCCAATCTGTTCAAATCAAGATCACAAATCCAAGTGAAATTTTGAGATATGAAATCGAGCTCCAAATCGCAATAAGAACAGGGATTTTGAAATCTGAAAACCTCAAAAACGATCTTAGAATCACTGGTCAGAAAACGAGATCTGATACAGCGGCGTTGGATTGATCTGTTACCTCCGGCGGTGGCCGTCGTAATACTGTGAAAGAGGAACAACCTCCGCCAACGGCGTTGATAATGGCGTCGGAAGCGGAGAACTCCGGCAAACAGGACAAGTAGCGTTAAGCTTCAACCAAGCATCAACACAGATCAAATGAAAACAATGCTTACAATCAGGTAACATCCTCATCATCTCTGCATCTTTATATTCGCATAAACAGATCGAGCAAATTGAATCGATTCCGTTCGTCATTTCCTTCGAGAACGGAAATTTAGGGTACGAATTGATAACTGATTGATCTAGTCCAACGACGGCGTTTTGTTCTTCTTCTCCATCGTCGTTGTTGTTTTCATCGACGAAGAATATGTTAGGGAGAATTACGCCGTTATCGTTAGGGTTTTGGAGTTGAGGTTGGTGATGACGGCGGCGGTGGCGCTGGTTGTGGCGGAAGCAGATGTAGGAAGCGAGGAGGAGGGTGGATAGGAGGACGAGAAATCCAAATGCGATGGCGATGGCATAGCCGAGGCCGATGTTTGTTAGGTAGGTATGCGTGGTGCTAGTGGTGGTTGGTGGTGGTGGTGGAAGGGTGGACATTGAAGTGATGGTGGTGGGTGGTGGTGGTGATGTCCATTTGGAGGGGAGGAGAAAGGGCGGAGATGGTGGTGGTAATGGGGGGTTTTAGAAGTGGGTGGATGGGTTGTTGAGCTGCAGCATTAAATGGGTAAAGAGAGAAAATGTCATTAATGGGGGGTAGAGAAATCAAAGCATAAAAATGGCGGATCGCCATTGAAGAACCTTTGAAAAACCTCAACGCTCCTCTCTTATTTTTATTCCAATAATCTCATTTTTAAACATGTTTTAAACTCAATACAAAATAACAGCGAAACTTCACAAAAAAGGTACAAAAAAATATCAAATTTTTACAACAATTTATTTTTAATTATATTTAGATTTTTTATATTTAAAATAACATGTTTATCAGGTATTTGATTATGTTTATCTGTAGTTAGTTACACAAATTTAAAAATTGAGCTTTAATAAGTTGTATTTACGCACAATTTACTTATAATTTTGAATAAGTAATATTCATCAATAAACAGTACATCATGCATAAAAAATGATTTTTAAGAATTTTTATCAAATGTTTTATAATATAGTGTGTGTTTGTGTGTCTATATATATATATATAGAGAGAGAGAGAGAGAGAGAGAGAGAGAGAGAGTGTGTGCGTGCGTGCGTGCGTGCGCGCGTTTAGTTCAAATGTTAATTTAAAGTATTGTGTTAATTTTATGAACTTTTTCAACTTATCACAATTCATCTTAATATTAGGTTCTACTTTATCTAAGAATTTAATGTTAAGGGTATATGAGTAAAAAAAATTGTAACTCCAAAATCATTAATTGGGAGTTACAAGATCCATAATCTCATGATTTTTGCATTTTTAATACTGATCTTGTGATTTTTTTTATTTTTTAATATTGATCTTCCATTTTTAATATTTATATATTTGTGATTGGTGGAGGAGAACCGCTAGTAAAGTGTTTGTTATCATTCAAACAATTATGAATAAAGATATTGGAAAACAACACGACAACATTGGGAAAATTAACCAAAGGGCTTTGGCCTAGCGGTATGTGTGTCATTGGCCTTCTAGGAGGTCAAATGTTCAAACTTCACCAAAGGTGAGCAGAGTATGTGAGTTTATTTATTTTATTTATCGTATATAAATATTATATACTTCCAAAAAAAAATCGAGAAGATTAAAATCGTTTATGGCGACAGTCGAAGTTCGAGATCGGGAAGTGAAGTAATAATCAAAACGAGTGTCTTGGTAATTATGAACACAAATTGACATGTATACACCCATATGAACATAAATTGACATATATGAACATTTGTGACAATTATGAAGACAAATTGAGCATATATGTGAACACTTGTAGCAATGATGAACACAAATTGAACATATATGAATACTTGTGGCAATTATGAACACAAATCGAACATATATGAACATTTGTGGCGAACACAATTGAACATATATGATTTCTACTGTTTGTAACCTATGATATTAATTGCACCTCCCCTTTTATATAAATACTCTTGAGCTACTATGTTCACATATGTTTGTGAGATTATAAGGGTAATAAACTAAATTTATAATATGATTAATCTCAACCCTATATTTTAAAAATCAATGGTCATGATTAGCAAATGATTTACTTGTTACTAATATAGTCTATGTTCTTCTTTAGACCCTTTTTTCACTCCGGTAGTATCGTAGATTGCATCAATGCAGAGGAAATGAATGCAATTGTATACTATTAAATTCAATATGAAGTTAAGTGAACTAGATCTTACGAAGCCTGCTCATGTATGACATGATTCATATCTGATCATTGAAAAGATTCTCTTCAAGCGAACCAACCTATCCTCTGTATGAGCTTATGTGATGGCTGTAGCTAATACGTTAAGTATCTCGCCTGGGGAGTACGTTCGCCACAATAATTTGGGTTAACAAATGAATTTGCCCACACAGACACAGACACATACACATACACACACACACACACACACATATATATATATGTGTGTGTGTGTGTGTATATATATATATATATGGGGAGAGAGAGAGAGAGAGAGATGAAGGATCGTGAGAATATGAACATAGAGGGATAGAGACCTTTAATCACTTTTAATCTCACTCTTATCCCATGAGTTACAGTTATCATGAGAATTGATCTAATGCATCTCGGTATACCGCATTAATGTTGATATTCTATTATGATTGATCCAAATGTGGATATCCTTGCCCTTCTCACCATAATTTTCATTATCACTGGAACTTAACCTTATATATCTATATTATATTATAAAACATTTAACAAAAATTCTTAAAAACCATTTTTATGTATAAAATATTGTTTATTGAGATATATTACTTCGAATTCAAGAGGCTTAATTTGACTCAAGACGGGGAAACTTACCAGGGTCAGACATAGTCGCTAGTCGGGCTTGGGCAACCGATCGTGCTTCGAACAAGGATCAACGAATTGTGCGTGATTACAACTTATTAAAGCTTCATACTTGAATTCGTGTAACTAACTGCAGATAAGCATAATCAAATACATGATAAACATCTCATTTTAAATACAAAAAATCTAAAATATAATTAAGATAATCATTGAGTTCTAACATAATAACTAATTATTATCTGTATAAAAATTAATGTTATTAAACCAAAAATAAGTTACTTCGTTATTAAACTTAAATTAAATTATAATAAAAATTCGAATTAAAGAAATTACACAAAAAATGAGAATTTTTAAATGGTTAATTTGATACTAATATCAAAATATATTTTTTCCAAAATTTGATGATATTTTCAAATTTATATTTTATTAAAAAATAAAAACATTATCACTTTCTTAAAACCACATAAAATCGTATTATAACATCGACATAGACAAATAATAAAAACGAAACACTAAAATCTAAAAATATCCCGTTGCATTGCACAAATACTTTTCTAGTATATATACGAAAGTACAGGTCATGTTAAAATAAGAATAGTGATCAAATAAGAGAATATGAGAACAAACAAATCACATGTGATTTTATATTAAACACATTGTACGTATAAAGTCACATGTGAATATGGGCAGCGGTGGACATATGTATGTCTGAGCAGGCTCACGTGCACCCACTTGGTCTATTTTCGCAAATAGGATTTTTTTTTTAGGTATGAGGTCCCGCTAAACTTTGAGGGTGCTCTGCAATATTAGAAAATTAAAGAGCATCAACCAAAAAAAGAAAAAAAAAATATTTTGAAATAAACAAAAATCTCTCTCGAATTCGGCCAAAAATCGAAAAAGTTTCTTGAAATCAATCAAAGACTTCAAAAAGAAACCCTCGAAACAATGGAATTTGGTTAAAAACATATTGGACGACTGGAGCCTTTGATCCACCTTAAACGGGCACATGCTCGACAAATATTCTGAGTCCTCCACTGATTATGGGCGACATTGGCTGTAACCCAGGTTGCATTAATTGTGCTTCATAATCGATGTGATTTCAATGCAAAATCACATATTATTTAGTTGTTCTCGTATTTTTTTATCTTGACTTTGTTCTCGTTTGATCCTTCTTCTATACGTATAATATACAAAATATATCATTTTGAAAACTTCCAAACGCTTTAAAAACATCCACAATGGTATTAGAAAATTCATTAAAAAAAATTCTTAAAATAAGACCCACAAGTTTAGGTGTCCAAGAAAAAAAGAAAAAAAAACTTAGGGCCGTTTACCAAACAATTATCCGATAAGTGCTTACTGTTAAATTTAACACTATCATTTACTTACCGGATAAGATTTTAGTCCACTAAAACGGTATCGTATGCAACAATTTACCCGGTAAGAGCTTACCGTGGTAAGAGTCGTCGTTTTCACTTACCGGGTAAGACTCTTGGTTCTTGTCTCGCTCTTACCGGGTAAGATTATTGATCCTTAACATATTCATCCGGTAAGGTAAAATGACTTGGTGTTCACTTACCCGAGTAAACGTTTGATAAACGGCCCCTTACTTAAAAGTTGTGTAGTAATATGTTGTGGCTTTTCATATAGCTCAATTAGCAAAGGGATGAGATGATTTTGTCCAAAATACGATACATGTCTCAAGTTCGATCCCTGTCCCCCCCTCCCTCCCAACCGCCCCGTCCCGCCCCGCTCCGTCCCGTCCTGCCCCGTCCCACCCCTGCTAGCCTTAGCCGCTAAATTAGCAAAAAAATGCCTCCTCGGTGTTTTTGGAGGAAGGTTGTGTGTAGGGCTGGTTAAGGTTGCAGATAGTTAACATTTTGCCCAAATATGACGTGACCTCCAAAATGAAATAAAAACGAGGTTTTTGGTGTAATTTTTTACTCCAATAGATTTTCTTGGAGAAGGACAGTAAAATTTCTTAAATTTGAAGAACTTTCTTAAAAATGATTGTTTAGGAAATTTAAATGATTATTTTTATCATTTTTCACTGATAAAAAATCTTTAAAATTAAATATATTACATATTTTAATAATATAATTAGATTTTTGTGAATGTAATTTTTTGTGAAGATTTTCAGATGTCTAATATTTATATTTAAATAAATTATAAATAATTTGTTGGATATGTTTTTATTTTATTTTGTATATTTTTATATAAAAAATATGTAGTGGAATTAATTATAAAAAAGAAAAGTTATAAATATATAATGAAAAGCAAAATAATGATTAAGAAAGACAAATTAATAATAATGTTGATATTAAAAAATAAACCATGAGATTAGTATTTATATTTCCGTATGAATGTATTTAATTGTACATGTGTGTACAGGGTTGGGTTCACGTGAAACCAACATGTTTTCGTGAAACATGTGAGACCTTTTTTTATACTTGAAAATTCACAGCAAAACGTTATGAAGGTAAAAAAAAGTCGAACCTTCACAACAAAAATTCTGTGAAGGTTACTTTCACAGCGTTTTGCTGTGAAGTTTCAAGTGTAAAAAAGTGGTATAACGGTTCTCACGAAAACATGTTGGTCTCACGTGATCCCAAGTCTGTGTGTGCGTGTATTTGTGCGGATGGATAGAGGATAATAGAGTAAGAAATCGTGTGTTTGCGTACATGTATTCTATAATTTTGGTCCTTATGGTTTTTTATTGGATAAAACCGTAAAAGACGAAAAAGAAAAGATAAAAAAAATGAAAAAGTTACTCATTTAACAGAATTCTTTAACGTTCGTTAAAGTGAAAGATCAAATCTGGACATTTTTACAAATAATGACAGCCAACATGTAATTTCGAAACTACAGAGACGAAAAGTATTATTTTCGACAAACCATAGGGATCTGTTTTGTAGTTTTCTCTGATATAAATGTTTAAAACCTTTAATACTAGACTATAAATTACAAAATTTCAACCACAAGAGTGGTGTCTGATTGGTTTGAGCTTGGCTCCAAAGGTCAAAAGTATCAGGAGGTCTCAGGTTCAAATCGAAGGAAGAATAAAAATCCCCTTGTGGTCACGGAGGTTCAAATGTTGTGACTTCGGGCTATTTGCAAAGCAGGTGGTCGTCCTGGAATTAGTCAGCTCGCATAGCGGGTTGAATATCCAGGTTAATAAAAAAATTACAAAATTTCCATCATTAAAAATAGAAGTTACAATTATTTTTTATTTTATTTCATATTTACACTGATTTTCTTGCTCTGCTATCCCCTGTCGATCCGCACAAACACACATACAAAACATGTACAATTAAATACATACAGACGTGGAATCGTGTAAGAATATGAGTTAAGGTGAGAAGCATAAGAAGCGATTTGGACCCTTGATTACTTTTAATCTCACATTCACCCCATGAATCGCGTTTATCACAAGAATTCATATAGTACATTTTGGTGCACCGTATTAATGTTGACCTTCAATTGTGATCGATTCAAGTGTGGAGATATCTTATTACTCTTCTCACAGTAACTCCATTCTCATCGAAACTCAGCCATATATTAATACAGATCTCGGGTTAGGTTCCGATGAAAAGTAGAGTTAAAGTGAGAAACATAAAAGGGATTTGGACCATTGATCATCTTTAATCTCAAACCCACATATGAATCAAACTTGATATGACAATTAATTTGGTGCATCTCAGTGTATCACATCCTAATATGCATCCAAGGGTGAAGATTTCTTCTTCCGCTTCTCATTTTAACTCTTATTCTCATCGAAACTTAATCCTACAAATCTGATGGTTTATTTTTTAGCATCAAACTTTATTGTTAATTTGTCTTTTTTGATTATTAATTTGCTTTTCTTTATCTACTATAACTTTCCTTTATCATTAATTTCACAGCATAATGTTGGGTTGAGTTTATGTGAGGCAAAATTGTTTTTGTGAGACACGATTTTTACACTTGAAACTTCATAAGAAAATGTTGTGAAGGTAAAAAAAAAAGTCGAACATTCACAACAAAAACACGGTGACAGTGTTTTGTTGTGAAGTTTCAAGCGTAAAAATCGTGTCTCACGAAAACAATTGTGTCTCACATGATCACAAGTCGTACATTTATTTATGTAAAAAAGTTACAAATAAAACAAGCATCAATAGATTATTTGAAATTTATTTGAAATAAATAATAAAAAACCTTTAGAAAAAATTACTTTCATCCCGCATTTTAAAAATTATAATATTAATTATATTATTAAATTATTCAATATTTAATTTCTAAAAGATTTTTATTTAATAAATTTTTTTAAATAAAATCATTTCAATCTTCTAAACAACCATTTTTTAGAAATTCACCAAATTGGGTTCAGATCAAAAACTTCATCTAAAAGTTGATTACCGACAACTGTGGTTAAAAAAAGGTCCCGGGCCAGGCTGGGCCGATTAGTCCCGGTCCAAAACAGTAACAATCCGGACTGGTCCTGATATAACTAGTCCCGGTCACGGGCCCGTCGAAAATACTAAGGCCCGGTTAAAGGTACTTGTAACCGCTTACGGTCCCTGTCCCAGATCGGCCCAAAACCGGTTCTATATAAAAAAGAATTCTTTTTATTTTTTTTAATTTCTTTTTGATAATTTTTTAACAATATTTTAATGTTATTCTAATACACTTTAAAATATCTAATTAAATCAATCAAATACACTTAAAAATACGTTTTATTGTAATTTTATAATTGATTTTCAATCAAATATACTTAAAAACTACGTTTTATTATAGTTTTATAATTGGTTTTCAATCAAATGCACTTAAAAACATGTTTTATTGTAAATTTGTAATTTGATTTTCAATCAAATACACTTAGAAAGCAGGAAATACATATACAAATACATTTTTTTAAATCGGGTCGAGACCTATAATGGGCCCCGGGCCGGGCCTTGTTTTTTAATGAATACCATAACCGGTCCTTAATCAGCGATCCTAAACCGATCTCAATCGGTCCTGGACCGGGCCGGTCCTAAGTCGGTCCCGGTTCCGGTCCTAAGCCAAGTCGGGCCCATTTGGCCATCTTTACCAGCAACCCCACTTGTGCTCCAGTTTAACAAGAGTGGGCTTTTTTTGGGCCAAGCTCAAATCAAGGTTTTTTGTGTTTCTTTAATCTAAATAGAAGTGGGACTCATACATATGTCATAATAAGTATAAGTTTGCATATACCACCAAATATATATAAGTGTTTGACTTCACATGCTTATACAGAATTATGTGCTATATTACACTCGAGAAATACTGATCACGTTATTGATCTTATTTTTCGTACTTCAAAGGTTCATTTAGATTTGTTAAAGTAGTCCGAGAGTGACGGGAGCTTGATCTCACCCTTCTTAGTCACGGGTATGCTGATGTCTCCAACAATCGGAAGATCAACAACGAGGATGACTTCAATCTCATAGTCGATATCCCAATCCATAGCAATATCCTTCACCAAGCTGACCAACACGTTGTGTGGCACCTTAATCTCCACGTCTAGCATGGTGTCGCTGTTCGCCTTAAGAGAACCTGGGTCATGGACTGTCCCAGATCCAATCACGCTAGTTCAACAACAATGAACCCAATGTTAGAAAATTCTAATACCATATATCGAACAAAATCATTATGCAGAAGCTGTAGTTTTAAACTGTATATGTGCATTAAACAAAACCCAAGTTTAATAGGAAACCAGATATAGACAATTAGACACAGATTTCAAACAAATATGCGATCCCATTCATCGCTCAAATCAATTGTCAGATCCTGAAATTTGAATATACACATATGCATGATGACAAACTTACATGTAGGGGTGAACAAAAAACCGTCAACCCGCAAAACCCGCCCAACCCAACCCGCTAACAACCCAATTAAACCCAACCCGTCTACCCGCCAAACCGTCCACCCGCCAAACCGCTAACCCGCTAATTAGGAGGGTTGAAATTGGGTTGAGTCTAGCTCAACCCGCCCAACCCGTCAACCCGCCGCAAATATATAATTTTTATAAAATTATATATATATATATATATGGTTATTATGTATATATATATATATATATATATATATATTAATAATGTATAAATTTTATATAMTTTTTATTGATATTATATTTTGTTTCATTTTAACTAAACGTATAGGTTACCAAAAGAGATTCACGATCAAAGAATGATGACAAATAATTTAATTAATAAGGAAAAATATTGATTTTTTTTGCAACAACAACAAATTGATATGTTGGAAAATATGAATGATATTGATAGATATTTGATGGACGAATCCATCAATCTATGACGCTTTTAAAGAGTTACATTAGAAAAATGTCTTATCTAAAAGAGTTCCAATATGTTTATATGATGGTTTTGGACGTCTTAACAAATTCTATGATGTTTTTAAAATAAAGTGTCGTATTAGTTATTTTATACAACACGACTTGAAAAAATGTCATATGAGCATAGGTGTCCTATAAATAGATGAGTTTACGGGACACTTCTCAAAATGTTTCTATAAAATAACTAATACGACATTTTATTTAAAGATTATTCTAAAACACTTGTTGAAACGTCAAAAAACGTCCTATAAACCTATTGCAACATTTTTAGATAGGACGCTTTATAATATGGTCTATAAACTTAAGATTAATGAATTATTTCATTCGTCAAATTATGTAACTACTAACCCGCCAACCCAACCCAACCCGCCTCAACCCGCAAGGGTTGGGTTGGGTTATACTTTTGAATGGGTTGGGTTGGGTTGAGATTTTCCAAACCGCCATAATTGGGTTGGGTTGTAAAATTGTTGTAAACCGCCCAACCCAACCCGCGTTCACCCCTACTTACATGGTAAAGACCAAAGGGCATTTGGCCTAACGGTATGTGAGTCTTTGACCTCGTAGGAGGTCAGGGATTCAAACCTCATGAAAAATGAGGTGTGTAAATTTATTTGTTATATTTGTCGTATATAAATATTATATACTTCAAAAAAAAATTACATGGTAAAATTACTTTGACTTTTCTATGATACTTATGTATTTCCTTTGTATTTAGAGTAAACTGTGTTTTGGTCCTTATGGTTTATTAAAAGTTGCGACTTTCGTCCTTATGTTTTTGAATTAACAATTTTCGTCTCTATAGTTTGCAACTCGTTATTGTTTTCATCCTTGAGACTAACTTTATCAATTGTTTACCAGTTAATATATGAGAGACGGAGACAACAACAAATTGTAAACACATAAACAAAAACACAATAAATTATTAGGTTTGTACCTATGGTTTGTTTTTGTTATTGTAGTTTGAAAATTACAAAATAGCCATTGTGGTTTGTAAGCATGTCTGGATTTGATCCCTCCCTTTAACGGTCGTTTAAAAAATTTCGTTAAATGATAGGTATTTTTGTCATTTTATCGATTTTTTCATTTTATTCAATAAAAAACTAATTTTACAATTTTGATCCATGTGGTTCTTGATTGAGTAAAATAGAAAAAAAAATTGATAAATGAACAAAAAACCCTGGAAGCTTTTAACGTCCGTTAGAGATACAGACCAAATCCAGACGTTTTGGCAAACCATGATGACCATCGTATAGTTTTCAAATGGCAGGGATGAAAAGTGTTATTTTTGACAAACCACATGGACCATATTGTAATTTACTCTTTACTATTATTAATCAAATATTTAATGTACTTTTTAATAATAAAAAACAAGCTTGCCGACCAAAATTAAGAATACAATATATTAATTTGAAAGATTCCTGCTTTTTTTAATTTTTTACTGGGACAAATTACATGAAAAAATAACGTATTTTAATTTGATTTTTATTTTGGGTAATATATTTTTATTTTGGTAAAGTTTTAAACATTTAAGTACCCGATTAACTAAGCATTGACTGTTTATCATGTTGATATGACGAGTGATGTGGTATCTAACTCAGTATTATTTGCTGGCGTGGTTAGTAACATGAATTTTTTTTTTCTAATCTAAAATCAGTCTTCAACCGGTTACGTGGATACTTAAATATTTACAACTTTATATCTTAGATACCAAAATAGAAGTTTTGAAGTACGTTACCCAAAATAAGAATCAAGTTAAAGTACATTATTTTTTCAAATAATTTACCCTTTTTATAATAAGTTTACCGAACGTTACCAAAAACAGATAAATTTTGATAGCTACAACATCTGTGCCGTGAAAATTTTGAAATATATAATATTTATATTCAGTAAATATATTTATCATATTTGATGAGATCTGCAAAATAATTTAATGGGTTTCTATATTTTTTTTACGTGTTATAAAAACCTTAACATATATATCGAAATCTGATTTCCTTTTTAACTCTTTTGGAAAATAATCTGATATAAATATACGAACATATCCAGTTCAACACCAAATCCCAGATTTTGCAGCAATTTTAATACCAATTCTCTCATACTCAACACTAAATCTTGTACTATTTTGGTGTTGCTGAATAACACAACACCAAAGTCTGTAACAAGTTAAAAGAAACTTGGCGAAAACTCTCAACGGTGTAGCAGATGATTACAATGACTGAATTGTTCACAGTTTCAGTAAAATTCATGTTGTATAATTAACGATTGTCGTACCTACAGTTTACATGTACTACGTAGAAACGTTTGTGAGAATGACGGTTAAAAAAACCAAGTCAAGAGAATGATAGCAGACAAACCTGTCGGCACTTTTGAGAGTGTAACGGATCTCGCCGATCGGAATAGACACACTGTAAGGATTTGTAACTTTGACTTTAGCGACATAAGTGACCGAACTCCAATCGACTTTTTTCAAATCGACCTCAGTCACACTCGCCTCTGGCTTCTCTATGCTCACCACTGAATCCACAACATATTGCTTTGCCTTATCGAGTATTCCGGCCATAAGATCCGGCGATATTTCCGGCAATGTTTATCGATAACAATTTCGAGAAGTAAAGAAGTATGTTTTTGCTCCAATTTAATTGAGATATGATACATATATATACACACACATATATATACACACACATATATATATATATATATATATATATATTATTTTATATACATGGGTTTGGCCCACAAAGTGGGTCACACATGATGCCAATCTTTTATTACGACGGAGTAATAGAAGTAGGGGTGTTTAGATGTTGTTTGACAGTTGTTGAATGGTTTTGTGTATAATCATTAAGTGATCAGAATGATTAAGAGGCTCTCACGATATAGTGTAAAATGAAATGTAATTGTTTGGTAAGTGTTTACGATGAAATTAGGGCTCTTAATGGTTAAAGGAGACCCAAGATACAAAATCATTTAGAGGGTTTTAGAATCATCAAGAGACATTTTTTTTTGCTAAACAAGATTCAGCTCTTAACGATTCAGAGACTGGCTTTTAATGGAACTGTTAAGAAGTAAACAAACAACCCCTTAGAAGGTTTTAGAACCATTAAGAGGTAGATTTTTTTTTTTTTTTTTGGTAAAACAAGATTCACCTGTTAGTGATTCAGAAATTATCTCTTAATAAAACTATTAACAGGTAAACAAACATGCCCTTAGGTTGATTGATTTAAAGACATCTGAACAACCCAACCGAATAATCTCAATCCAACCCAACTCAACCCAAATCGTACAATAATTTGGTACAACTCAACGTGTTCATAATACAATACTTTAATAACAAATATATTTAAAGCATTATTGTTTGATTACAATTTTTAAATTATGCATGTGGTAAACTGTTTCTTATGAGATGTTGACTAAAAATTGTAGGATAAGGGTAATTTTGGAAAAAAAAACATCTAACTTAATGCATTAAGATAAGACTAGAAGGGTACTCATACAATACAGCGAGATAAATCTTCATTTTAATGTTTAGTTTTTATTTTTTGTCTCCATCGATATAATACGATTTTGTATGGTCTTGAGAAAGCGATAATGTTTTTATTTTTGAATGAATATAGATCTGGAGATGGCATAAAAATTTGAAAAAAATAAAATCGATATTAGTATCAAATTAACTATTTAATAGTTCTCCTTTTTTTGATGTAACTTCTTTAATTCAAATTTTTATTATAACTTAATTTAGGTCTAATAACAAAGTAATTTATATAAAGATAATAATTAAACATTCTGTTCAAACTCAATGATTATCTTAATTATATTTTAGATTTTTTATATTTAAAATGAACGTTTATCTTGTATTTGATTGTGTTTATATACAGTTAGTTACATGAATTTAAAGATGGAGCTTTAATAAGTTGTACTTATGCAAAATTACTTATAATCTTGAATTTAAGTAATATGCATCAATAAACAGTATTTCATGCATAAAAAATGGGTTTTAAGACTTTTTGTCAAATGCTTTATAATATAGTATAGATGAGTTGACTTAACATGTTAAGTCAATTTCTTAGTATTAAGTTAAAAACAAACACCTTAATATAATTTAACCAATTAAGCTGATCACTCATTAATCTTATTAAGTTGAAACAAACATCCCTTAAATCTTAAGTATATCGCATTCAACTATTTTTCTCAATATATATATACTAGTTGTGTACCCGCACAATGCGGTGAGAGTTGTGAATTTTAACGATTTTGAAATTTCACTGGTTTTATTAGAGAAGATTTAATGATGATATAAGTTACACTTGGTTTTTACATATTAATACAATTTGAATAAATAAGAGTTATAGTTCCAATTACAGTCTATCGATGAAAAAAATTCAATATATTTAAAATCCAACATATTTGAACGACTCCACAAATGTGTTTGATTTACACCAAGAGCAAAGAATCAACAGATCAAGAGCGAGACCGAGACTTCTAGAGTAATTGGATGAGAAATAAATGGGAGAACTTTTAATAACTCATGGCAAATATCTGTTTTAATCTCACATTGGGATATGAGGAGAAGACATAGAGGTATGAGAGGATGAAGACATGAGTGAAAGATGTCAAAAGTATATTGGAAACATGAAAAGAAAAGATAATAATTTGCATTAATAACTTGTACTATATGTTATTTTAATTGTAGATTAAGAGATTTTAAGACTGAATGCATAAAGTAGTAATACTTAATGCATTTTGAGTTGTTTTTAATACTTTGTGCATAAATGTATAGTACTTTGTGCATTAAAAATTGTTTTTAAGACTTTTCATAAATTTGGTTTATGAGGTAGTATAGACATGATCACATTTACTGAACATATATACGAATGAGCTATATATGATGAAGAAAATATATATATATGAAGAGGGTACATTAATAAGAACTTAACAATTATATTAAATCCAAAAAATAAACGGATAGTGGGTTCACGGGTTGGTTTCAAATGACTGTAACTTCATTCCAACCTAATACATACGATTTGAAGATGTAACAACTCAATTAGACATTAGGTTGCTTCGGGTTGGATTGGCTGGATTGGTCGGATTGGTCAAGTTTTTTAGCACCCTTAACTAGAAGTATATCCACACAATGCAGCGTGATGCATTTCGATTTAAATGTTTCATTTTATTTTTTGTCTGTTGTTGATTTTATAATACGTTTTGTGTGGTTTTGAGAAAATAATAATGTCTTTATGTTTAATAAAATATAAATTTGAAGACCCGTTAAAAATTTAAAAAAATTGTATCGATATTGGTGTCAAATTAACAATTTAATTTTATATATAATATGTTAATTCAATTTTGTATAATTTAGTTTAGATTTAATAACGATGTAATTCATTTTAAGTTTAACTATATAATTTTTTGTATAAAGATAATAATTATTTTAATTATATTTTAGTTTCATTATTTTAAAATGAGATATTTATCATGTATTTGATTATGTTTATCAATTAAATTATATGAATTTGAACATATAGCTTTAAAAATTAGTACCCATGCACTATTTACTTGTAATCTTCAATTTTAAATAATATACATTAATAAACAGTACTTGACGCATAACAAATGGCTTTTAAAAACTATGACTCAAATGCTTTATAATATAATATAGATATAGATGTACAAGCTATAACTGTTATAATAATTTCGAATGACATCAATTTTTATTAAATAAATTAAAATCACATCAACTATTGATATTTTTTTAATCGATATAAACGTTTTAATTTATGTAATAAAATATTTATAATTTTAAAATCAATTAAATAATAATTAACGTTTAAACGAATATGCTTTTGTCTCAACTTGATGGAGATATATGTAAATTTAGGGGTGTTCGCGGTCTGATTTGGACGGTTTAACCCTTCAGACCACAAACCAAACCGTAATGACGGTTTATAAAATTTTCAAACCGAGCGGTTTGACATCAAGTGCCCAGACCGGTCAAACCAAACCACGAAAAGACGGTCTGGTCTGACCGGTTTAGACGGTTTGGGCCTTTAATAGACTTTAAATATTAAACTTAAAAAAACATATATAATTTATAATTTTAGATTAAATATCTATTATGAATATGTTAGATGTTAGGTTTTATGTTGGACTTAGAGATATATTTGAGCATAGTCCATAAGTTAAAAAAGTTAGATTTGCTAATACTAAAATAAATAATTAAACAAATAATATATATATATATATATATATATATATATTTAGCAGTCGATTTGGTCCAAACCGTCCAAAAAATGTTCCAGACTGCAGACCGAACCGGACTGCCCGGTTTTGTAAATTTTCCAAACCAAACCAAACCGCTAGACCGCTTAAAACGCCAAAAATGGTTCGTTTTAACTTGGTTCGGGCTGTTTGAATGGTCGAACGGTTTTTTTGAACACCCCTATGTAATTTAATATGGTGCCTCGTTATTGCATACGTTTTTTTATATTTTTTAATCAAATATCTAAAAGAAAATAATAAATATAGAGTAGATAACAATTTTTGGTCTTTTTAGCAGGGGTGTGCATCGAGCGGGTTCAGATGGAAAAATCAAAAACCCGATCAGATTTCGGATATAGAAGTCAAGTCCCAATTTTTTGATTTCGGGTTTGGGTTCAGGTTTAGTTATAATGCAGAAAATATATATATCCAATGGATTTTAATGATAAATTCAGTCGATTTAGAGGATTGATAAATAGATAGTATACTTATAAATTAGAAAAAAAACACGACCGACTAAAATTTTTATAATTTTCAAAAGATAATTAGATAAATAAGTATATATATATATATATATATATATATATATCGAGTTTTCGAACGGATCAGGTGGTCAAAAATCAAACTTAACCCGAACCCAAATTTTTCCCAAAAGTCAGTTTTTGGATTTTCGAATTTCGGGGCATTCAGGTTTTATATAAATACTTTATTTTCAGTTCGAGTTTAGATTCGGATTTCGGATAATTCGAGTTTTACACACACCTGCTTAAAAAGTTTGTTGAAAAATTGTAATTTAGAAATTGCAATTTTTGTTCTATGGCTTATAATTTGTGGTTTTGGTTTATATAGTTTACAATTATTTACTATTTCAGACTCTTATACTTTAAGACAAATTGCATGAAAAAGTAACATACTTTAACTTGATTCCTATTTTGGGTAACGTACTTTCAAAACTTCCATTTTGGTATCTAAAATGTAAAGTTTTAAAATTTTAAGTACCCAGGTAACCGGTTGAAGAATAATTCTAGATTAAAAAAACTAACTTTAGATCAAAAAAATTCATGTCACTAATCACGTCAACAAATAATACTAAGTTGGATACCACATCTGCATGATAACCGGTTCATGCTTAAACCGGTTACCCAAGTACTTAAATGTTTGAAACTTTACATCTTAGGTAGCAAAATGGAAGTTTTGGAAATACGTTACCCGAAATAAAAATCAAGTTAAAATACGTTACTTTTTCAAACAATTTGTCATATACTTTATGGTAGGAATTAATATGGGGACGAAAATAACAATAAGTTGCAAACCGTAGGGACAAAAACCGTAATATCCAAACCATAATAAATTATTGGTGATTAATATTTCAAAGTCTTTGGATATGATGAATTGATGATTAACCTCATTATTTATAGAATAAACTTCCTTTTGGTTCCCAACATTTATCAATTTCAACAAATATCGTCCCTAAACTATAAAAAAAATTGGATTTGGTCCTTCGTGTTTGTCATTTTATAACAGTTTTGATCCCTTCATTTAACGATCGTTAACTTTTTTTTTTGTTAAATCCAATTAATGAGGAGTATTTTAGTCATTTTTTTGATGGACTTAATAGAATAATGTTTAGAATGACTAAAACACCCCTCATATAATTGGACTTAACGAAGATACCAAATCCGTGAACCAACACTAATGAGATACACCAGATTAATTCTCTTTTAAAGCGCAATTCATGAGTTGGTTTGAGATTAAAAGTGATCAATGGTCCAAATCTTTTCTTACACTTCTCACTTTAATTCATATTCCCATACGATCATTCGTCATTCAACTAAAACTCGATGGAGACGTCAAAATATTCAATAGATCTAAATAAATCTTGTGATAAAAACGGAATAATAATAATAATAACAGTAATTGATGCAGCTTAATGATGGAATGATCAGTGCAACTTCAACATCATCGACAAGAAGGGCCATATCAATGGGATCGCCTTCACAAGTTCAGAAACACTATACCAACATTCAGTCTCAACCTCATCAACTCAATTGAACTGTATCACACAATCACTCTGTGTCAGAACTAGAAATTTGGAATAAGTCGACTTATATTTTTTTCATACGTTTTTCATCAGTGTATATGCATTTATATTTAAGTCCTGTTAGTGAAACCGCCCCTTCGGGACTACACGAGCAGAGATGTTACAAATGTGATATCAGAGCTACTAAAACTCCAAACATAGATTACAAAGCATAATTTACAACTTAAAAGATTACATTCCAAAAGCAAGTTTGAAAACTCTCAAAAATTGCAGTCTCGATTTCAAGTCCTGCCCTATCAATCACTTGGAACCTGCTGTGTCAGAAAACAAAACACGGCTAAGCACAAACTCAGTGAACATATTATAATATGAAATTCGAAATAACAACAGGTAACATTGATAATAAAGCGGAAGACATACAATTCAATTAAGTTAAATTCATAAAAATTAAAACATTTCACAATTCTCGCTTCAAAACATAATTTAAACAAATTCCGTCAATTCTTGTAGTGTTTGTGGGGTGGCCAAACCACACGAACTATCAGGCTGGCGTGCAGGCAGACACCCCAAGGCAATGAGGGAGGAGAGGGGCTACTATGTGGTCATGTTGAATGTTTTTTCTACTAACTTTAATCTTTCGTTTTTTCATTTTTTATTAAATCATATCAGATAATTGTTGGCAGTCAACCATTTCCAGATACATAAATACCTATTTTTAATTACAAATTCTAAGAATATATTTTCTAAAACTGAAATTAAACCTACATTTTGAACACAATTTACCTGTTAAAAAGCAAGTAAAAACTTGTTATAAACCGAATTTTAAGGTAAATATGAAAAAGTCAACTATATATAACTATAATAAAACAAGTAATTGTCGAATTCTAGAAAAACACCTATCTATCAACGAAATCAGATAATGAATAACGAGACGTTAAATAAAAGATAGAAGCAAAAGGGGTACAAAATTTAGAAATGGACAAGGCCCGGTTTTTAGACGTGGACCTTCCAAACCCATTTTGGTAAACAAAAGAACAAACTCTGGATATGGTGGGTCATATTTTTAGTTTTTGGGCTACGCTTTACCCGAGCCTTGAATATTTTAGTAGTATAGAGGTGTTTAAAATATAGTTGCACCATTCAAATCAGTCGAATCAAGTTATATTGAATTGTTTTTGGCGGTTTGAGTGGTCTGATAATCCGGTCCAATTTGAAAAATAGTCAAATGACTTGGTTCGTCCGATCTGCGGTTTAAATGCTCTTTTGAGCTATTTGGACGAAAGCGACCGTCAAAATACACATATATTAATTATATTTAGTTTTCATGTTGAATCCTCAACTTTTATGACCCAATTACACAAAAAAAAAAAAAAAACCGTCCAAGACATTAAGTTTGTAGTTCTTCTCAATTGTCCACATTCCGTAAATCAACAAAATTCCAAAACCCGTTCAAAAATTATAATCCAAAATTTCAAATCGTTCTTCGACTTACTCAATGGTTGTACAAAATTCCAACTATTGTTGGTGGACTTGTTTAACCTTTTTCAATTTGCTCAATGTTTCTTGTATAATTCAATATAATATTATTTTTTTAATAATGTTATATTGGTAGACAATTCAATTTGGTCAGTGTTTCTTGTATAATTCAAAATTCCAAATATTTTTTTTAATAATGTTATATTTTTAAGTTTCTTTTAGTTTAAAAGCTTATAACATGCCTTAACCGCTTACACTCTTTTTTTTATCCAGTTTGGTCACTTGCTGCTAAACTGTTGGGTTTGGAAAACTTCCTGACAGCTATCGCGGTTTGGGAGATTAAACCGTTCAAACTAAACTACGAACACCTCTAATCAATACTTAGCATGGTCGGGAATTTTGCTTGGGCTTGGGCTCCCACTTAATAGGAGCGGGCTTTTATTCGGGCCAAGGCTATTTGGTGTTCCTTTAATGCTATTTGGTGTTCCTTTAATACAAATACATGTGGGAGATATATATAGGGGTGTAAATGAGTCAAGTAGTAGATTAATCGAGTCGAGCTTGAAAAATCAATACTAGGCGCGAGCTCGTTTAACTTTTTCAAAGTAGGCTCAAGCTCGAGCTCGAATATTTTTTGAGTTATCGAACTCGAGCTCAATGCTCCTTTATAGGTTCGAACTCGTTTATCGGATTGAGCTCGATAATATTTATATTTTTGTTGTAGGATTAATGGATATATAAACATGTTTGTCTCGAAAAACTGTATGCTCGAATGGCTCGACTCGGCTTGAAAATTTTAATCGAGTTTTCGAACGAGCCGAGTCGAACATTAGGGTTATGAAGCTCGGCTCGTTTAATTAAAAGAGTTATAGTTTGTGTTCGAGATCGACTCGAGCTCAAGTAGCTCGTTAAAAGCTCGACTCATTTACACTGCTACATATACATGCATGATAACGAGTATAAGCTTGTATATATCACCAAAATATATATAATCGTTTGAATTTCAAATGCTTATACATGACTACGTGTTAAATCATAATTGAAACATATCTGATCATGGGACTGATCTTATTCTCTGTGCCTCAAAGGCTCATTCGGATTTATTAAAGTAATCCGAGAGTGATGGGAGCTTCATCTCACCCTTTCTATTCACGGGTATGCTAATGTCTCCAATGAGCGGAAGATCAACAACGAGGATGACTTCAATCTCATAGTCGAGGTCCCAATCCAAAGCAATGTCCTTCACCAAGCAGGCCAACACATTGTGCGGCACCTTAATCTCGATATTTAACAAGGTGTCACAGTTCCCGTTAAGCGAACCTGGGTCAGGGACCGTTCCTGATGCAATCACGCTAGTTCAACAACAAATCAACCCAATGTTAGAATAATACTTTTAATACCAAATATTGCACAAAATCGTTGTGTAGAATCTATAAACTTTAAACCGTATGTGTAATAAATAAAACTAGAAAGTAAGTTTTGATATTGATGCGTTTAAGGAGGAATTTAGCAGGTATGGGTGTATTTTTTTTTATTAACCTGGATATCCAACCCTCTATGCGAGCCGACTAATCCTAGAACGACTATCTGCAAACCAGAGTCACCGCATTTGAACTTCGCGGCCACAAAGGGATTTTTATTCCTCCTGACCTCTCCTGGTACTTTTGACATTTGGAGCCAAACTCAAACCAATCAAGCACCACCCTTGTGGTTAAGTATGGGTGTATTTAGGAAGTATATGGAAACCCAAATTAATCTTCAAAAGAACATTTGAGAAGAGAGAATATTCCATAATATATAGAAAAAAAATGTTCATGTCTAGCAGATGTGGAACTCTAACATGCCCCCTCCAAGGAAGGTTAGACGAGTACATATTGCCCCACAGTAATAGGTCCCTAGATTTGTGGATCTTGGTTTTGATACCATGTGAATATATGTGAAACTCCAAATTAATCTTCGAAAGAACTAACGAGGAAAGAAAGAAGGTTTCATTATATATAGGGAAGAAATGGTCCAAGTTTAGTCAATGTGGGATTCTAACATTCCCCTCCAACAAAGACTAGACAAGTATACATTATCCCAGAATGTCGGGAGAGGACTAGACGAGTACAGATTGCCCCATGGTAACAAGTCATAGAATAGTAGATATTAGCTCTAACACAATGTTCGACATATTAATAAAAGAAAATTATTCATTTTGGGTTTGTTTCAGATTTGAGTTTACAAATAGGGTTATGATGGTCATCTTATTGTTGGTAAGCACTTACCAAAAATATTTGGTTAACACTCTTACCCGATACAACACTTACTCGGGTCAGCACTCTTACCTGAACAACACTTACCAGGTAAGAATCGGTAAGCAACCCCTAAGAATAAGATTGAAATTTTCAAATCAAAGATGGAAAAAAAAAATCTTTATTGGGTTTGAAAATTCATGTTGCTAATTCAAATATGCTTGTTTTTCCTTCTTTGTAAACCCCTAAATATCAAAATTAAGTTTAAAAATCAAAAAGTACGTACAAGAAAATATTCAAGTACTCAAATATAATTTATTAAAAAGATTAATTATTAATCAAATATTTAAAGTACTTTTTATTTTTTAATAATAATTAAAAAAAAGTAACCTTGCCGACCAAAACTAAAAATAAAATACTTTATTATTTAAGAGATTCTTATCTTAAATTGCCTTTTGATATTTTTTTAATATCTTGTACAATTTAATGTCAATGTCTATTCTTTTATTTTTCAAAATTCTGTTTTTGAAAAGTATATCTTTTGGGTCATACATATTCTAGCCACATACATTTTTCTGTCCAAAAATATATCTATCTATTTTTATTAACTTGTATATCTGATCCGTTATGTAAGTCCGTTATATAAGTCGGGACGACTATTCATCTGGGATCACAGTATTTGAACCTCTGTGGTTTTAAGGAGATTTTTTATTCCTCCTTAAATTCAAACATGATTTTTTTTATTCTTCCTTAAATTTAAACATGCGACCTTCAAACGCTCTTGAACTTTGAAGTCCAAACTCAAACTAATCGACACCAACCTTATATGGTTAAATATTTCTATCTTTGTTTACTAAATTTTGAGAATCTGTTAGTAATCAACTAACAGTAGGAGGCAAAGCAATAACCGAAAGTCTTATTCGGTATGTGGGAGAAAAAACTTATCAATAGAACACAGGGAGGGTTTAAGACCTTTATCAACTATCTATTTTAAGAGCCGAAAATGTTATAAGTGATGATCTGTTCCTTATCACTAAGCTTTGTCTTTGGTAAACGATACCTTAATATCTCTCAAAATGAGGCATATGATTTTGAACTATAGATTTTTATCCATTATTGTCTGGTATAAAATCTCTCATATATATTGAAACCTCCTATTTTTTTCCTCGATTACTCTGTTCAGAAGTAATCCAATATAAAAATATTCCTAGATTTTGATAAACATTTCATACCTTTTGGTGTTGGTGAATGATGTAACACCAAAAGTCTATAATATGATAACAAAGCAATTCTCGACAGTGTAGCAGATCCTTACAGTTACAAGTTACAACAACTAATTTGTTCAAAATTTGAGTAAAACTCCGATTGGATAATTAACAACTTCCATAGCTACAGTTTACATCTACTCTTTAGAAATGTGTGTGAGAATGACAGTTAAAAAGCACATCAGATCGGAAAAAAAATCATAGCAAACGAACCTGCCGGAACTTTTGAGATTGTAACGGATCTCGCCGATCGGAATAGATGTACTGTAAGGATTTGTAACGTTGACTTCAGCGTTGTAGGTGACATTACTCCAATCAACACCTTTCAGATCGACATCCTTCACACTTGCCTCCGGCTTCTTCATGCTTGCCACTGAATCCGCAACAAATTGCTTCGCCTTATCCAGTAATCCGGCCATATCTCCAACAATATCTCCGGCAACGTTTACCGATGGTAACTTGGGAAAGTAAAAGAGAAATAGCTTGTTTGGCACGACGAATATGCTTTTGATCCAATTTAATGGAGATATATGTGATATTTATATATGGGTGGAGAGGGTGATGATCCATGGATCAGGATCGCTCCCGGACCCGGGCCCACTAAGCGTGGGTCACACGTGGCAGAGTTTCTATAATAATTCTACCGACATATATTTATTTTAATAAGAATATATTTTAATAGAAAAACACTCTTATTACACGTATTTCAATACCACATCTTGAATTATATTTCATTTTCTTTAAAATAAATATCTACGATAAAAAACATAAAAATTTAGAAAATTATAAAGATTATATTATTAAACCAAAAATAAATTATAACAGAATACTTGATTAATATCTTTATAAAAATTATCTATATTATATTATAAAATATTTGACAAAAACTCTTAAAAACCACTTTTTATGCGTAAAATATTGTTTCTTAATACATATTACTTAAAACTCAAGATTGCAAATAGATTGTGCGTAAGTACAACTTATTAAAACTCCATATCTGAATTTGTGTAACTAACTACAGATAAACATAATCAAATACATGATAAACATCTCATTTTAAATATAAAAAATATAAAATATAAAATATAATAGAATAATCATT